ATGAGGTATTTGTAACCTGAAGTAACAAAAGCATAAACACTGCAGGAAGTAAAACATTGCAACCAGTGGTATATATGGAGGAGTATTAATAAAACCTTAAGAAAACTGTAATAATGATGAAAGGTTGTTAGAAGAGTTATCCTTTGCTATCTTTAAAGAATCTTTCACACCATAGAGAAAAATCACATCTGTTTAGGAAGACCAGTCTTTTAAAAAAAATCCTTCACATAGATACATACATACATACAAATGAGGCACTATGCTTATAGAAATCTCCTATAATAGCAGGGAAGCATGCAAAGAACACAAACTTAAATCCCCTAAGAAATGCTGCTAGCAGTGCTTTCTCACTCGTGCTTTTTAACAACATATAGCTCCAGCTTCCTTAAGAAGACCTTGAAACTTGCTTTGACAGTGACCTTCCAAATCTGGCAGCTCGGTCCCTGGAGACAGCTAAATCAGAGGAGGCACTTCTCCCAGTAGACAGACCCTAGTGAAGGTTGGAAACGTGTTCTGAACAAGACCGCAACCTCAGTTGTCAGCCGGATGCCTTGGTTTTCATTTGTGGCTGTGCTGGGTCTTCATTGCTGCACAGGATTTTTCTCCAGTTGTGGCGAGCAGGGGCTCCTCTCCAGCTGCGGTGCATGGTGGCCTCTCTTGTTGCAGGGCACAGGTCCTAGGGCGCAAGGGCTTCAGTGGTTGCAGCACACGGGCTCAGTGGTTGTGGCACATGGACTCAGTTGCTCCTTGCCATGTGGAATCTTCCCTGACCAGGGATCGAACCCATATCTCCTGCATTGGTAGGTGGATTCTTTACCATTGAGCCACCAGGGAAGCCCTGGATGCCGCCTCATTAGAAACTGAATCCTAGTATAAGGTAGTAACAGATGAATGGGCATCTCTTGCTTCTGTTGATCTCTTGATCCCAAGAAAGGATCGACTTGGTGGATAGAGGTTTGCAGGTTTCTAGGGTGTGACCTATATACCTTAAGATTAAAGTGACTTTTTTTCTTTACAGATCACGAAACCCTGCTTTGGGTATGAAGGCAGGAGGGGGAGGGGATCAGCTACTTTTGCAACAGGTGGTATATATGAAGAAGAAAGCTACGTTTGTTTGCAGCTAGAAATTTGAGATAAGCAGCAGTGTCCACCCCACCCCCTTTCAGAACTTTAACAGAAATGTACACATTATGGTATAAAAGGGAAGGTCCTCAAAGTCAGCCTAAGTGTGAGATTTTAATGGTACTGAAAGTGAAGGACCGGCCACTCAGTAAGGCCTCGCTGTCCTAGATTTTAATCATTTCACTTTTTGAGCTCTTCCTTCAGCTCATGACAAGCCAGAGCCCTTTGTCATCTCAGTTGTTGACTATGTGTAAAGCAAAATTGGAAAATAGACTCCTCCAAAAGACTGAAGGCCAAAAGTACTCATTTGACCATAAATATTTTTATTAAATGTGAAAATACACGGGCTTAAAAATAGTACCCATTATTTGTAGACATGTCTGAGACCCATTTCCATTAATTTCCGGTGTCTTATTTATTAAAACACTAAATTGAGATGGATTAAGTTACTTAGTTTTGTCTCATTCAGACCAACTACAGACCTAACAGCAGGAGTAATATTTTAATTCCTCAGACATCTCCAGTTCTTACCTCCTCTATGCTCTGCTTTCCACTGAAGGTAAGAGGCTCAAATACAGAGGGTGTGAAACAAAACCCGTTTACCATACATGAAGCCACGCAGTGGCTAATTTTACTCTTAAATCATTCAGCAAATGAGATCATCCATTAAACAAAGCAAATTATCTCCACCTATCAACATCATTTGCAATTAAAGAATAAACTCTGCTACTAACAAAACAATGATCTGATTTAGAATAATTGTTGATAAATCAGCATTTGCCACCCTCTTTCCTTTATAAATGTGGAAAAGTCAACTACATTCAGCACAGTGGCGTGCATTTCTCTAGGATAACCACGCATGTGTCCTCAATGAAAGCTGCACAGGGCTGTCACGGGTGCCCTGTCCCTTTAAGGAGGCAGAGACCTGACTGAGGGGCCATTTTTAACAAGCATCTTCTGCCCTTTTTTCATGGTAAATTTCACAACTTATGACCAATTTCATGCTCTAAAGGTGAAATCTTTCATTTTTCCACCATGAATAGAAAATGATGCCAACTTAAAATTGTTAGCTTCTCCCCCCACCCAATAATCAGTTATAACTAGTCTTTTTCTCTTAAGCGGTGGGTAGTTCTGACATTCAATTATCAGAGTCCCACAAAGTTCTGTTTTCATACAGATACTTGAACTTTTAATACTGCCTAAAGAGCAAGACATTTTAAAATTAGTGCTGTTACATCCAATTCACATTAGTAAACTGTTGAAGTCATTTTCCAGTTTTCATTTATCCATGGAAAAAAGCACAAACTTTCAGAAATGGGTATTACATTAATTTACTTTCTTTTTAGACCTTTTTCATGTTTATAGGCTGATGTGTTTAATACTTGTTGCTGTGGAAAAATACCCATTTACCGACCAGCGACACTTCACTTCTGGAGCTCACCGAAAAGGAAGGGAATGTGACACAGCCAAGGCTGGGCGCCCCTCTCATTTTGCTTTTCCACAAAGAGCCGCACAGGTTACCGGGCACCTGCGGTCCCCAAACCAGAGCCTGGAGAGTGTGATGCTCCTGCATCAGGCCGCCAGGACTGACAACTGTCCCTTCTCGCTCCCAGCGCTCTTATCACTGTGGAGGGCAGGAGGGCCTGACCATCTTCCCGGTCAGGCAGATTCCAGAAGACTACTGATGACCCTCAAGGATGGAACCGAAAAGTCATTATTTTCCTCACTCATGAGCAAAAACAACAGAATCCAGAGAATTTCTCTCCACGGCGTTGGCACCTGGCACCATACCTGCTTCTGTCTTCACTGAAAACAAGCGACTCTCTGCATAATTCCCTTATGACTAAAGTCAGTGCGTGGTAAGACTTCAGGAACAGGATTTACAGTTCTCACAGGTGGAGGAAAAACAGAGCAAACCCTCTCAGCAGCAGGATGGCGGTCGGCGAAGTGACAGGGGCCCAGCACAGTGACCCACATGGCCCACCCCCAGCCATCCTGGCCCCTTCAGGCTCCTCCTTGCTGGCAACTTTACACCCTCTCCTCCAACTGGCAGGGTGAGTGATTTCATATTTCCTTTGTTCTGATTTCTTTGTGAAAATTCTTCCTTGTAAAAGTAGGTAGAGGCCATTGCAAGATTTCAAAGAGTTCACAGTGACATCATACATGAAAGAACTGGATTGGAAAAAAATTGCTGATTTAACTAATGAAGTAATAAGATTAAAGGATAAAAATGAATTTCCTTTGGAAATTTTCACACTGGCTTGAATTTTGAGACATTAAAACAAAAGGAAAGCTGCAAGCTGTTCGCTAAGTTTTCAAAATGCCATCTTGTTTATTGGTAAGAAATAAACTTCTAAGTAGATGCAAAAAGCACTTAACGTGTTTTGTCCAACTCAGCTGTGTTGTTTTTGTCCCTCACATTAAAAAACTCTTTTCCAAGTATGTTTCAGAATGACTGTAGAAGGAAACTATTTGTGCTTGGCTGGCTGTTGTGGGTATTAGTGGTAGGACAGCCCCAACAACTCAGAAGATGCTTGATTTCCCAAAAAGCAGTCAGTATATTAGGCCCATCCTGCTTAAATTGTCAAAATGTTCTGAGGCAAAAAAAGAAAAAAAACCTTTCTAGAATAAAGGTAATAATTTTTATCTAAATAATTCTTAGATTTTAAGTGCAGCATCAATAGTTCCATAATATTTTATGGAATCCCTATCCATAAATATTTAATGTTATAGATTAACACTTATTTTTAAAGGAAAAATTATCCAGCATATAAAGACTGAATAGTTCATTTTTCTTAAAAGGTAAGAAGGTATCCAAGAAGAGATGCTATCTTGATAGTGGACATACAGCCAGAGCTGACTAGATCTGTAAACCTGTTTCTTTCCTGGCAGAAAAACTTCCAGAGGCATCAAGGTCTGGCAGAGGGGCAGGCCTGCTACTTAATCCCGCCTCAAAGCAATCCCCCGTGGGAACCCACGGGCCAGGCAGGCGAAGACGTAAGAGAAACTGCTAAACTTAAGAGTGGGAGACATGGCATTCTGTCTGTGTTGACTGAGCAACTTTACATTCTAAGCCAATCCTGTTACAGGAAATGCGGTACAACTTCAGTTCTTAATTCTGCACTACAGCAATATTATTTAAATACCACTGCTATGTTATCTGAACTTATTTTACATATTTTTAGTTCATTGTGTTTCATATTAAATAAAAGGGCCAGGAGGGTTTACAGTTAATTCTGTTTCAATGGCTTTCAGTATTCTCCTCCAGGTACTGAACCAAAAATTACATGCTTAACGTGAGTCCAGACCTCACCCTGGCTGCTGCCATTCGTAGCAGGTTCTCTAACGGCTCTGACCACCTTCAACGACAGCCATGTTCATGCTCAGAGAGAGATGGGAACGCAAGTGGAAATTTAACGTAATGACAGGTGACTGGACAGACCAGAGTCGAAGCAAAGTTGTGCCTAAGAACATACAGCTCAGAATGTTCACTGCTCTTGGAGAACGCTGACAGCCCAGGTTCCTCCTCACAGACGCAGGCGCTGACACGTATGCAGTGAGGAGAGACTCTCACCTGCTCCAGTGTAGAAGATGCAAGATCTCTGCACCCGCTTCAGACCGCTTCTTCCATCCGGTCACAGCACAGACACCGGGTGCTCTGCCGGAAACAGAAGCCCGCCCGCCTCCCTGCCCTCACCCCCGTCAGCCTCAAGTCTGCAATGGATAAGAACAGACACTGCCATTCAGAACACCTCTTTGGTAGTGGGCAAACTGAAAGGTTGGAATTTTCTTTTTCATTAGGATCCCGGAACAAGGTTTTTTTTGTTTGTTTTAAAACTTTAAAAAAATGAAGGAAGAAGAGCAGAAAAACAGCTGGTTTAATTGAAGTGGAATTTAAATCTAAAAGGTCCGCCTGAGCTGAAGGGATTGAACCCTTGCCATGAGTTCCAGCTCCTGTGGAAAGGGTTGCCGCCACCTCCTTGTTGGCTCTCTGCGTCCAGGGGGTCTTCTCCATCATCAAACTTCTTCCTCATTTCTGGAAAAGAAGCCAGCGAGGTGAGACCCAGCTGCACCTGATGCTCAAACCCCTGCCACCCCATCAGAAACAGACTAGAGAAACCAGCCAGGGCTCAAAGTGGGCATTCACAGACATTCAGACCCCCGAAAATCTTCTCAGAAGAGGCCACCCCAGGAGATTCTTCCCTGGAAGAGCTGAGGAATAGCAGACAATGAGACCTCAGAGTCACACGTGCTCTTCTGATCGAACAGCCCCTGTCACCATCCTAACCCCAAACATGAAGTCAGCTAGGCTCAACCTCATCAACGCATGAAGTGTCTGGGCCTCACATTAAGTCTGAACAGAAGGCAGGCTCCCTAGGCCCGAGGGAGGGAGGCGCCTTATTGCATAATCCAGGAGGCCACTTCCACGGCTGTGCCTGTCAGTCCTGAGCAGACCGAGGCCACTGCAGACAAATGGCAGGATGTGGCAGGCAGCAGAGAGTAGGAAAAGCTATTTCATCCTTAAAATAAGGACAGAAAGAACAGAGTACAGAAAAGAACTCTAAGCAAGCAAGAATGCAGCTCTTTTCTCTGTCATGCCATTCTGCTCCCTGCTCCCCTAGAGCTCAAATCCAGAGGCCCCCCAATTTGACATAGCTGCCCGACCTGTGCTGCACAAGCTGAGGGAACAGAGCCACTCACAGGCGTCATTATTTGCAGATAAAAGAACAAACAGTATGTATCCTACTGTACTCAGTCAGTCCTGTCTCCCTCGCTGGATTATAAATTACTTGGGAATAAACATCATTTAACTTGAATTCCATAGCGTAAGTAGTAACTCAAAAATCTGTCAAATGGGCATAAAATGTGATTTCCTTCTATTTTGTTGTAATTGTCTAGCTCAAAAGTCATGGTTTCTGCTGCCATTGACAAGGATGGCCACAAAAAAGCAGTAAGTATTAGCTTAACATGAGATTCCCTCTAGAAGTGTCAAAGCATTGTTCAACATTACCTCAGTTCTTAACTGTCTCCCTCTTATTATCCAGGTCATTTTAGCTTATGGTGAAATAACAACTGGTGGTTAGTATCAACCACCAGTAAGCGGTTGACTTGAGTCAGGGCAAGATTCCTGGAGAGCCGCTCTTGGAGGGCGAGAATATTTGCCACCTCCCACCGCTGCACATGCCCACCTGGCAGCCCATCTCCTAATCAAGCTCCTGTACGTACGGTGTGAAAATCAGCACTGATCTGTGACTCTGGAAGGAAACTAAGAGTATCCCTCTTGTACTTTCATATCACAGGTGAAAAAAACCTGAGGCTCAGAAAAGGTTCTAGGAACTTGCTTAAACAGAACCTTAGCTCAGCCTTAAGAGTCATGCTCAGACCTTCTGATTCCACGCTTGGTGGTGTCTCCACTGCACCCCGAGTCTGACAGTGGCAGACACAGAAATGAACTTCGGGGACCATCACCAGCTCCCGAGTTCAGCCCCACGGGTCCCCACCAGCACGCGCTCCACCGTCCACTTCTGCCTCTAAGACGGGCAGAGGAAGAGAGCTAGCAGCCTCCAGTCACTGACATAGCCACTTCAGGAGAAGAGAAACATGAAGGCAAACACTACCTGGATCAGAGAGGACTTCTTTAGCAGCTGCTATGTCAATGAACTTTTTCTCAGCTTTTTTCTTTTCTTCTTCATTCTGGAAGTTGTCTGGGTGCCACTGCAGTGCTAATTTTCGGTATGCTTTAATGATTTCTTGCTTTTTGGCATTTCTGAAGGGTGGTAAAATTAATAATTATTTAAGAAGTGTCCAACACACTGCCACAAAGAGCTAAAAGACAGCTCAGGAGATTCCACTGGTTTTCCGAACAGTGCCAACATACCCGACTGAGCGTCTGACGCAGAGCCCTGCCTGACCACTACAGCCGCCAGGCTTCCCAGAATGCTTGTTCCCTAACGCTACTCTCACCAGAAATAAACTAAAGTACTCCTTCTATTTACAACTTTCCCTTTTAGAAACTTCTTTGATGGATTTTGAAATTTTCTGAATTTCCAAACTACTATGATTCAGTTCTTGGCATTAAAAAAAAACACTGACTCTTTGAAGCGTACTTTCTAACTTGCTTCTAGGTTTGCTTATTTAAAAAGAACAAAGTTTCAGACTTTTGATTGAAAGATAGGTGATTCCCCTGTTCAGGGAAGGTGGGTCTAATACAAATGCACATATTGAGTAAATTACATTCGCCCTGTGCCTCAAAGTTGATTCTGAAAGTGCCACTGTTATCTTTAGGCCTAGAGAAGCTTTGTTTTCCTCAACCCCTCTCCCATCTGTCCCCACACAACAAAAGCTCACTCCTGCCTCTTTACCTTTTTTAAAAAATCTAGGCCCAGGACCTAGTCATGCTCCAGGGGCTCGTCTTTGTCACCAACTACTGATTCTCCATCATTACATGACTAGTCTCTACCAAACAAATTTATCTGTAGTATACTCAAAACAACTTTGTGATGTTAAAGGTTGTTAGTTTAATTTATAGCTGACATTACATAAGAAAATGAATCATGGAAAAAAGTAACAATTAGCTTTAAAATAGTTGATTAAAAATAATGCAAATTTTTAATTAGTAATTCACCTTTTTACTCCCAAGATTTTATAATAATCTCGTCTCTGTGACTGTTTCAATAGCCTCTGTGCTTTCTCCAGACCTTCTCGAATCTGCTGATCATTCTCATTGTGTTCCTGAGCAGTTTCATAATCCTGAATAGCTGTCAAAATATGTTGAAGATAATGCTGTTAGAAGGAATTATAACTTGTGACATTCACCCTGCATATCACCCTGTGATACCAAGTCACCATCCCAACCCCTTCCTTCACCATCACTAAGAACCTAAGAAGTGGTATCACCTTCATCATTTGGTTCAAAACTACATGAGGCATACTTTTAAGGCTGCATTAGGTAGCTTACACTCCATTCAGTAAACGCCACTCTGCTTGTTTACCTGCCCACCCTCCCACATTATCTTCCCCACAGCTGTGTGTTGTCGTAACATCTGCCCTTACACAAAGCAATGCAGTGACTGTTACAGGAAAATAAGATGCAGCAAAGACAATCTGCATGCTCAGTTGTAAGGCTATGGTTCAGAAGATTAAGAGGCTTAGAAGGGACCAGGAGAACCATCAGGAAGCAGAATGACCAGTTCACCCACAGGTTTCAACACAAACTATTACAAAGCTGATTTTTTTTAAAGTGCCAATCAGAACAAATACATTTATAGCCCTGGTATAGAAAGGCTGATGCCAATTCACACTGCATCTTATTTCAGATTATTTTAAAAATGTAGACAATACAAGGCATCTGGGTATCTAAGGTCACACAGAGCAGAGACTTATCCTCAGAAGGCCCTGAGGGCGAGGGTGGCCCTTGGCTGGTGACTGACAAATTGGATTTGGGCAGTGTTCCCAACATTCTCTGATAGGAATGGCTAGCCGTAGCTAAACAATGTGGGTTGTGCTAACCATCTTACCTTCTGGGCATCTGGCATTTTGGTAAGGGCTGGCCAGCTCCCAGTAAAGGCTCTGGGCCTCTAAAGAGCTTCCCTGGTAGACACACTTCACACATGCTGAGGGATTTGGCTTGTCCTGCACAATTTCAGACCTCGAGTCTCCCACCCGGTTCCCTCTGGATTTCACCACATGCGCCTTTTCCCCTTACTGATCTTGTTTGTATCCTTTCGCTGGGATAAATCTCAGCCCTGAGTACAACTATGTGCCGAGTCCCGTGTGTCCTTCTGAATCCAAATCTGGGGGTGGTTTGGGGAGACCAACACAAGCTTTTCTCACTCTCCTTCCTGGACAGACAACTCAAATGGATCTTTGGGCTCAAATTCTACTTTTTTATGGAAATGCATTTCACTATGGGAAAGACGTCTCTCTGGATAGCATGCCTGAGCATTCATCTTAGCAACAGCTAACCCTGGAAGGGGTTTAAGAAGGCCTCTGGGGCAGGTTAAAATGAGAAAGACATTAAAGCAAGATGGACAAATTTAGTCTGCACTACATAGAAAAATAACCAATACTACCTTCCACTCATGGAGCAAGGGGGAGGGCACTTTAAGCTTTCATCCTCATTCCTGCCTCAAAGCATTAATGTTAATATGAAACATTAATATTACTGACAGCCAACTAACAGTGGCATCACAAAATACCTTCCTAATTTAGTATATAGACACAAGGCCATTATAAAGAGCAGTGAGGTTTAGCCTGCAATACCCGTAACACTTGATAACACAGCCTAGTGAGGAAATGTACTTGGAATTTAACACAAGAGGAAAATGTTTCAGTACACTCAATTTTTTACTTATGCAAACTACATTTAAAACATGTTTTCATTCTTAAATATGCAGAGTCGCTTTCCCAAAACAGTCTTCTGTCTCCTATATTTTATTAACAGTTAAGATAGATATATTTTTCACAATACAGGAAAAATAAGTTGTTTCCTGAAATTCACATGATTACAGGTAGGAAACTAAGTAGGAATTTACTATGGATGATGTAAACTTCCCATGGATATAAACTAGATAACTCATTTTTAATTATATTTCTTAGAACAGTATGTTACATATTAGCCAATTACTTTTCTAACCTCTGAACCTAAAAACTCATCCTTCTCAAATTCTTTTCTTCCATATGCCCTCACCCAGTTCTTAAGGAGCAGTGCAAACCACCAGATCAAGGTGGCAGACAGTAAGCACAGGAATTTCCTGCCCTCTACCCTAAAAAAATAAAAAATAATACAAACATGGCAGTCCTGAAACTACAGCAGAACAGAAATAGTGACAAATTTCTGGAAGAGAAAAGGCAACTAGGATAAGATTAACAAATAAGCCTAACAGAACTGCAATCCAGATACACACTGAAAGAGGCCCTAGAAGATTTTGGAAGCTGCTCTCTTTGGCCGAGGATTCTGAATTTACCAAGCAGGAGGAGCTCTAAGGCAATCCTCAGGTTACTTCATGAGGTGGCTTAGTCATGGCTGGGCAGCCTCTCCGCCTGTATGTGGAGCAGCTGGCTGCAGCATTAACCCCAAGCCAGGTCCAAGACCCAGTCTCCGCAGAGTGCCGGACGGCATGTGAAAGGCCCCCGACATGGCTGCTGGGCCCCCGGACACCAAAGGCCTCCACAACAGGCCTGTTATAAACACCGGGAAGGCAGTTCCACACTAACAGGCTCCGCCAATAAATGTGTCAAGTCCTGCTTATTCTGGCAACTGGGCAAGATGGCGAGCACGACAGGGAGTCGGTCTGTAAACAGGTCCTACCCACTTCGAGCCAGCGTGAGCTCCCCAACACAGAGAAGCATTCAAAAGACAGATGCGCACATTACACACAGCTGCAAATGGCTCCCTTCTCACACTCCATAAACCCAGTATTAAGTCCCAAATTAGCTTCCCTTCAAAATATATCCAGGATTTAACTGTTTCTCACCATTTCCACACTTGCACTGTGACGCAGTCCAGCATTAAAAACCCCTGACCGCTCTAATACCTTCATAAGGTGTTCATAAGGTTCCCAGTTGCCCTTACTTCCCTAGATAGACTCTCAAAACAGGGACCTCAGGGGTCTTTTTAAAGAGTGTATCCGACCTCCAGTATAATATGCCCCAAGGAGCACCTCCCAGATATATAAAACAAGGTAGATGGGGGGGGGAAGGGAAATGAGGGGGAACAGGAGGGCACATACCGTTTTCAGCACAACAGTGGAAGGAGACTGTTCAAGGGCTGCTAAAATTAGCTAGTATCAGCCAGGAATCCAGGATAAGAGGAGGAAGCAGACAGAAAGCCCTAAAGGACAGAGCCCAGAAAATGCCAGCAAAATCCACCTCCCATAAGTATGGTCTCTCCCAGAAGTGAGCAACAACCTACATCCTTTACCAAGAAAACTGCAATACTCCCTTCTGGAATTGATAGAAGGACAGGGAGAGGGTATCATCAGGAGAATTTAACAGTCATAAATGTTCAGGCTGCTAATAGCAGTTTAGCAAGTTGCATAAAGGAAAAAATGGACAATATTAAAGGGGAAGATAGGAAAGTTTGCAATTTTCACACCAGGTAATTAAAGTTCCCTCTCAGCAACTGATGGGAAAACTAACAGAAATATTACACCCAGAAATTGCAGAATACACATTTTTAAGTACACACAGAATATTCAGCAAGATAGATCCTGCACTGGGCTATAAAACAAGTCTACATAAATTCAAAAGGATATACACCTAAATAAATTTAAAAGGAAAGAATTCATGAATATGTTCTCTGAGGACAACAGAATTAAAATAGAAATATATAATAAGGCTGTATATTGTCACCCTGCTTATTTAACTTATATGCAGAATACATCATGCAAAATGCTGGGCTGGATGAAGCACAAGCTGGAATCAAGATTGGTGGAAGAAATATCAATAACCTCAGATATGCAGATGACACCACCCTAATGGCAGAAAGCGAAAAGGAACTAAAGAGCCTCTTGATGAAAGTGAAAGAGGAGAATAAAAAACCTGGCTTAAAACTCAACATTCAGAAAACTAAGATCATGGCATCTGGTCCCATCACTTCATGGCAAATAGATGAGGAAACAATGGAAACAGTGACAGACTTTATTTTCTTGGGCTCCAAAATCACTGAAGATGGTGACTGCAGCCATGAAATTAAAGATGCTTGTTCCTTGGAAGAAAAGTTATGACCAACCCAGACAGCATATTAAAAAGGAGAGACATTACTTTGCCAACAAAGGTCCGACTAGTCAAAGCTATGGTTTTTCCAGTGGTCACGTATGGATGTGAGAGTTGGACGGTGAAGAAAGCTGAGCACCGAAGAACTGATGCCTTTGAAGTGTGGTGTTGGAGAAGACTCTTGAGAGTCCCTTGGACAGCAAGGAGATCAAACCAGTCCATCCTAAAGGAGATCAGTCCTGAATATTCATTGGAAGGACTGATACTGAAGCTGAAACTCCAATACTTTGGCCACCTAACGTGCAGAACTGACTCACTGGAAAGACCCTGATGCTGGGAAAGATTGAAGGCAGGAGGAGAAGGGGATGACAGAGGATGAGATGGTTGGATGGCATCACTGACTCGATAGGACATGAATTTGAGCAAGCTCCAAGAGTTGGTGATGGGCAGGGAAGCCTGGCATGCTGCAGGCTTGGGGTCGCAGAGAGTCGGACATGACTGAGTGACTGCACTGACTGATATAAAAAGGTCCTTAGGAAACTATGAATTATTTTAAAATTAGACAAAATATCTAAATAACACATGCATCAAAAAAGTAGTTAGAAGGAAAGTTAGAATATATTTCAAATCAAGTGACAATGAAGATAAAAAATGTGAGAAGTGCAGTTTTAAATACTTATATTTTAAAAGAAAAGAGATCTAAATGAATGACAGTTTAAACTTAAGAAGCAGGAAAAACAAAAAATAAGTCCAAAGGAAGTCAAAGGAAAGAGATAAATCAATGAAATATAAAGAACAGTCATAGAGAACATTAACCAATCCATAAGCTGGTTTCTTCAGAAGACAAACAAATTTGACCAAACTACACTGATCAAGAGGGGAAAAAAAAAACAAATTGTCACTATTAGAAATGAAGAACAAATTATCACTTCAGACCTTACAGACATTAAAAGAATAGTAAGAAAGCATTAAAAACGTCATATAACCAAAAGGAGCAATGAAGATGAAATGAACGAATTCACTGATGCACACAACTTACAAAAACTAAAATGAGAAAATAGAAAATATGAGAAACCCTATATTGATAAACTGAATTCATCATCAAAAATGTTCACCCTAAGAAAACTCTGGAACCTAAGATGGTTTCACTGGTGAATTCTCCTAAACTTAAAAAAGAAACACCAACTTTATACAACTCTAAGAAAATGAAGGTATGATCTTTCAACACAGAATACTTTCATGGAATAGGGCAGACTTAGCATCACTAGGAAGAGTTCAAGAATAGGCAAGAAGGCATAGGAATCTGGTTACAGGACATCACGGGATGTCAAACATAAAATATGTCTTTTCCACAATTTGGCCAGGCTGGCCCTTCATCCAGAAATAGTGTTACCTGGCTCCTGTTCTCAGAATTATAGATATTATTAGTAACACTAAAGTAATAGCCGGGTCAGATGAAGTTAGTGCAGCAATCATAGGTCACACCTAGGCAGTTGTAAACAATCTGCCTGGCAAGAAGGAGACTCAAGAGGCAGTTTCAATCCCTGGGAAGAAGATCCCCTGGAGAAGGAAATGGCGACCCACTCTAGTATTCTTGCCTGGGAAATCCCAAGGACAGAGGAGCCTGGCAGGCTATAGTCCATGGGGTCACAAAGAGTCGGCCACAGCTGAGCAACTAAACCACCAAAGGTCAGAGCTAGAAGCAAGATATCCCATTAAGTACCATTTATATAGCAAAGTCAATGCAAGTTACCAACAAGTATTCTAAAAATAGGTACAATGGAAACCATTTACTAGAAGCACTGCATTAAGCATCAGTTTCTGAGCACCATCTTCTTTCTCTGTCTTGTAACTCAGGTGAGTTTCAAAGAGGGTTAAGTGAAGTGAAGTTCTTTACTCTTTGCTCAAGTTTGCTGACTCCTCAACTACCCTCTCATGTTCTTTCTCCGTCACTACAGTCCTATGCAGTATGTACTGTTCAAATTCTTATTGTACATATAAGGAAAGTAAAATATTACAGGATAAGTTACTTGATGGAAATCACACTGCAAAAATAAATGGTACACTCCAAAGGTATAAAACTGGCCAACAAGCATATGAAAAGGTGCTCAACATCAATCACTAATCATTAGGAAAATGTAAGTTAAAACCACTAGTTATCACTTCACATCCACTAGGTAAAACCAGCAAACAGAATATAGAAAGCCCTCATATAAGGAAAAAGACTTCAAAGATAGATCTATTAAATTATTATCAAACATCTTTTTCTCAGGAATCAAGCTGTCAAATTTCTCTAAAAAATAAGTGGCTTTAACATTCAAGATACAAAGGCATGTTTTAACTTATATGTAGCAGCCTACAAAATTGAACCTTTTATTTTTCTTAACAGCTAAGCTTAAAAGCTTGTGCAGCTTCACTAGTTTCACATTCAGAGCTGAGGGTTTACACACAGAAAAGAAAAGCACACATTAATGAAGCCTTCCAACAACTAACTGGAATGCAAAATCCTAGAATACAGCCTTCTGGGAGCCCAAGAGTGAAAAGAGCAAGCAGGCTAAAGGCAGATATCTGTGTAGATCATTTGCCTTACTGACAGTCTTATGAATCTGATAATTTGTCGTTTTGCTCACATACATTTCAAGCCTCAATCAGACCTCAAGGACTATATACCATAAAAATGTTCCACAGTGCAACTAGAGTTGTCATCACTCCCAGGAAACCACTTAGAAGATTCTTTTTAAGTTGAAGAAAGCAGGAAGAAAGTAAATGATCAGTTTGCCTTAAAAATGAGTACCACAAATCTTTCTTAATTATAAGTTCAGTTATCTCTTAGTACAGTTTTATCATGGCTGTAATGCATTCTTACTATGATTAAACTAACTGCACATTTCATTAAATAAATATGCAGCAATTATTAGGGGGAAAAATCAGAGTACCACAAATCAAGTTTCCCCAGAAACATACCCTTACTGTTTTCGATCTTAAATGCTTTATACTTGATTTGAAACCAAAACTTGTCATTAAGGGCTTACAAGGCTCACTTCTTTTAAAATCATCTCATTTAGATGTTCATAGTATAATGTCATGTGAAAAAGGTCATAAAACAAAATATGTGAAGGGTTCTGTACGACTACTGTATTGGCCTTAGTTATCCTCCAAAAAGAGGGCACTGCTTTTATTCAAGGTGCTTATGACATCTAGCAGGAAACTCTCTGCTACTTGAACAAAGTTGGATAAGCAGCTGTCCTGATATTTACTAACAGCTTGCAATGTGGGAGACCCAGGTTCAACCCCTGGATTGGGAAGATCTCCTGGAGAAGGGAATGGCAACCCACTCCAGTGTTCTTACCTGGAGAATTCCACAGACAGAGGAGCCTGGCGGCTCCAGTCCATGAAGTCACAAAGACTCGGACACAACTGAGCAGCTGAGCGACTAATACTTTCACAGTTTCTAGGGATCCCAGAAGGTCATTTTATATTTAGGCATATATGCCACATATATGTCTGCTGTATGTCTAACATGTATATGTATAGAATACATATATAGGCATAAAATACACACTCATATATATGCATAGATAAAAGTCTGAAAGATATAAATCCAAAATGAGCAGTGATTACCTCTGGACGATATGAGATCTGTAATTTGAGTTTTCTATTTTGTTATTCATCTTTTCTAACTTGTCTACAATAAAGCAAGCTAAAATTTTTATTTTTATATTCCACTGTACTGGATTCAACAGCAGAACTCTTTCCTTACATGGTATACCTCTCATGTTCCACCAAAAAAGAATGATTTACTAAGAAAGTGATTTTTAGGTTCTGTGCCATTTTTCTAAAATCGCCAACATCTCCAGGTAAACTCGTTCTAAACAAAGGGATGTTAAACGGACCAACTGCACATACATCAACTTTGAGGTATTCTAAATCAAATTCCTTAAAGATTTACCTTCATCATACATTTCTTCTATTAAATAGGCCTCTGCTCGGTCTTTCAGGGCATTCACATTGTCAGGTTCTACCTGTAAAACTTCTGAACAGACTCGAATAGCTTCAACAGGCTTCTCGTCCTAAAGGTAAATGTGAGAAAAGAACTTATGGTTGTTACTCCATATGTCAAGTTTTTACAATTCTAGAAACGAGTCAGCAATTTACCTTAGAAAAGCAGTGGCAAATCCTTTCTTTTGAACGAACTGTATATTCAGGAACACCTGGCTCTGTTTTCATGACAGATTCATATTTGCTGATCGCATCTGCGTACCTATTACATGAGCAAATCATGATAAGTAAACTGAATTCTATTTCCAGAGCTAAAGAAAAGGACCCTCTACTCATCACTATATGTTGCTTCATCAACTGACCTGAATGAGCACACGCCTTCAAAGACTCCTCCTACCTTATAATCTATAGTAGCAACAAAGGTTCTCTCTGCAAGTAAGAGCTAGGAAATGATACACTTGACCACAGAAAAAGTGTATGGATAAATTAAAGCACCCCTGTGAGAACTAACTAATCAAAGCAAATGACGGATTCTTTTAGAAAGAGATTCGTGATTCTGAAGCTGAAGAAAACACCTTGTTAAAGTCTGACTACCACAAAGCACCTTCAGGAAAACAGAGATCAGGTTTACACACTTGGTTACTACACATTTTATAAATCACAGAACCCACTACATGTTATTTTATATAATAAATATCAATATTCATAACTGAGTACAAGGTAATTCTTGCAGAAGAAACCCCCAACTTTACTAGCTTTCTAAGAACAATAAAAGCTACTTCAAAAAATTAAAAAATTAAAAAAAATTAAAGCTACTTCAGCATTTTTTTAAACTGGTGAAAAATACTAGTCATGTTATGCACTGTTACTTTCCTCAGTAATGACAAACTACAAGATGTATCTACACACCGCTGTGGCAGATTATTCCAAAAGTGCTACAATCTTCACACTCAAATGCTGCTTTATTAAAATACAGGTTTAAAGATAACTCTTAAAACAAAAGCTAGCCATCAATGTCAAAATCCTAATTGGGATGTTGTTCTATAGATTTCTAAGATGGTGGGAAACTATACAGAGTATGTGAGACCTCACTTTACTTCGTAAAACTACATGTGAAACTAATATCAGAAATTAAAAGTTCAATTACAAATATTACATAACTTTACATAAATGATACCATAATAAACTTTCTGCATCAAAAAGAAAGTTCAGTTAGAAAATAATGTGCTTCACTTAAAAAAAAAAGTTAGCCTCTGGGAAGGTGGAGTAGAGGTACTTTTCCCAACTCCTCTAGCTAGATACTTGTGTAAGTACCCTGGACATTATACTTTTTTTAGTATGAGAAGACTCAGATAAGAAAATTATGGTCCCAACCCCCACCAACATCAGCAGGTCAACTGGAGAGGCAAGACTTCTCTGGTGAGCCTCTGATGAGGTGTGCCCACATCCCAACCAAGGTGGTGTTGGAGAACATCAAGTTGGGAGCCAGAACTTTCACCTCTGATCAGATCCGGGCCCCCCAAACTCTCACCAAGCAGTAGTAGGAGAATACCACAGCTTGAGTAGCAACAAAGGTCAAGTGGGAAACATCTACCTTCATCTTCCAGTTAACGAGGTGGTGCCCACCCTCCAGCCCCTCATGCTCACTTTGCAGAAACAATGTCAGAAGAAGCCACCCAAAACAGAAGAATCAAAAACCAGAATCTTATAAAATGAAAATATCCAGATTTCAATTAAAAACTAATCATCATACCAAGAAACAGGATCTCCAACCAACACCAAGAGGACAAAGATGTTAGAATTATCTGACAAAAATTTTAAAGTAGCCACAGGAAAAACAAAAAAAAAGCAATTAACAAGCATGCTTAAAGCAAATGGAAAAATATAATGCCTCAGCAAAGAAATGGAAAGTCTCAGCAAAAAAACAGAAGATACAAAAATTCCAAATAGAATGTTTTGAACTGAAAAGTATAAAAACTGAAATAAGAGCTCACTGCATGTGCTCAACAGCAGAACGCAGAGGACTGAGAAAGGGTCAGTGAACTCAAACAACAGAAATTACTAAATCTCAACAACAGAGAAAATGAAAAAAAAAATGAATAGTGCCTCAGGGACTGTGGGGCTAAAACTTAAAAAAAAAAAAAAAAATCTAATATTTATGTCAGTCAGAGTCCTAGAAGGAAAGCAGAGAGAGAACTGGGCTGAAAAGGGATTCTCAGAAATAACAGCTGGAAACTTGCCAAGTTTGACAAGAGACATAAACACACATATCCAAGAAGCTAAGGATACTCCAAACAGTATAAACACAAAGAAATCCATGCTGAGATATATCACAGTTAAACCTCTGAAAACTAAAGATAAGGAAATAATCTTAAAACCAGTCCCAGGAAAATGACACCTTATCTTTAGGGGGGAAAAAAACAATTAGATGGACAATGGATTTCTCATCAGGACCCGTGGAAGCCAGAGAGAAATTATACAATATTTTTCAAATGTTTTAACAAAAGAACTATTAACCCTAAATCCTATACCGAGAGAAAACGTCTGCATACTCTGTATACATCGTCATCACTCTAGATATATTAATATAGTACCTTTTAATACTCGGTTTAAATGCCCATCTCCCACACTAAATTTCATGTTCATTTCTAACCTCCCTCCCTGCCCAGTATGTGGTCAGTACCTGACATAGGAGAAATTCAATAAACAGTTGGGAAAATATAAATAAATCTGCTGATAAGAATACTATACAGTTACCATCATCTGTATTCTGCCCTATTCAAAAAGTGTGTAAGTGTGATAGTTTTGTTAAGCCCCAATGCCATCTAAGATCCTCCACCCTCCAGGACTAAAAAAGTAAGTAGTTCAGTTCTTCTGTGCCCATGACCAGACATCAGAGGGAAAGTGGAATCCTCCACAAAACACAGCCTTACCTGCCATCTTTGATGAGCTCTTCAGCTGACTCAATCAGCTTATTAAGTTTCTTTACTTGTTTATAGTGTGCAAAACACCGTTTATGATCCTGGTCAAGTTTAAGACATTCACGAACTTCACTGTTCACGTATTTAAAGAAGGAAAATACTCCACGTCAAAACAATTAATAAATGGTTTTTCATACTTAATACAGAAATCACAACGAAATGTATTTTTTGTCTATAACACTGACTTAATAATTTATCACACTTTTACATATGGCATTGTATTATGCGCACACATAAATTAATTCAAGTTCAAAATGATTCAAGTTCAAAATGACTCAAGTAGAGATAATATATTAAACACTCTATTTTGCTTCTGTAAATGTAGTAGCTATCCTATTTACCTTACTGAGCATACTTCATGAAAATAACTATGTAAAAGCAGAATAACTTAGAAATAACACAAAATTATAGATATGTAAAAAAGCCCTAACCCTAATTTTATTAAAGTTAAAATTAAAAAGAAAATGGGAGTATTCTGTTACTGCAAACACTAAAAAGATGTTGAGATGTGTATGTTACTAGAACTAACCTGAGAGACAGTTCATGGTCTCCTAGTTCATAGTACAGTGTGCTGATTTTATAAAATGCCTCAGTATTATCATTTTTCAATTTTGATGAAGCTTTTAAGTCACTTATCGCTTTCCTAGGTTCCCCTTCTTTTATAAAACATTCAGCTCGAAGTTCTCGTAGTTCTGCATCCCAAACACAAACCTTGAGAAATAAAAGAACTAGACTTAAAGAAACAGTCAATTATGTACATTCATACCTGCACTCCACATATCTTATCTACACATTTATCAACACAGAACATCTTCAATTAATGTGACGACTTCTATATTGTAAGCAATGTTAAAAAGTCTGATACAATTTAAATGTGACAAAAATAATGAGATGTGATCAAGTAATTTCTCCAAAGACGTCTTTTTCCTGTGGGAGGGAGGGGACTGCACTGGTCTTCGCTGCTGCCTGCGGGCTCTCCCTAGTCGCGGGAGCAGAGGCTCCTCTCTAGCTGTGGTGAGAGGGCTTCTCCTTGCAGTGGCGCCCCTTGCTGTGGCGCCCGGGCTTTAGGGTGCGCAGACTTCAGCAGCTGCAGCGCATGGGCTCTAGAGCTCAGACTCAGTGTTCATGGCACAACTGCTTAGCTGCCCCAGGGCATGTGGAATCTTCCCAGACCAGGCACTGAACCCGTGGCCCCGGCACTGGCGAGTGGATTCTTAACCACTGGATCACCAGGGAAGTCCCGGAAGATGTCTTAAATATATTCCAGTGGGGTAAGGAGTGTGTGTGTGTGTGTGTGTGTGTGTGTATACACACATACTAACAAGTCCCTTTTCCAAACCCCTGTCAATTATATAATTCTAAAACACTGACAATAAGAAAACAGGCCATTTATTATTAGAAAGTGGTTTCCAGTGAAGCATTTTTGATTTTGAAGAGGATATTCTCTAATTGGATTTTTATACTTAATCAACAATTCTAATTTCTAGTCTCGAAAAATATAATCTAGGTTCTAAGTTCACAAAATATTTTTATTCTACTAGTAACTAAATTAACTTTATAAAATGTTACCTCCTTGAAATTAAATCCTCATATCACAAAAATAAAAGAGAGAAAAAAAATGTGAGAAGGCTAAAGTATCTCCATTTCCAGTTTATCAAAAAGTTGACAACGTTTAGTAAACCACCATTATCCTTCCAAATATACATCCAAAAGCTCACCACCAAAAAGACCCATGTAAGTGGCTTTACATATTTCGTAGAGCTGTTTTAAAGTCACATCAATTTTTCACATGAAGATATCAAAATCGACACTGTACGTAAATTAAACACAATGGACAACGAGCCAGGTCAAGATGGATAATTACTAGAAGGTAAGAATCATAAGTTTATGTTTTCTTAATAAAGCATTAACAAAATAATCTAGTAAACTGTGAATTCCACTGGAATTTCCACTAGAAATTTCACTTCACATGATTTCCTCTATAAAACTATCAGAAAGTAGCCATTCTACACCCATAATGAGTTTATCACCAAGATAAAACGAGACTGTACAAAGCATTGTGAAAATGTAAATATGAGTTATGACTGCTTCCATTTGAATATGTTATTAGACTTCCTTCTGATACCCTCACACACTCTGTCATTAAGTCCTTGCTGAGGCAGATGTAGATTTCTGCATCTAGAACCATCTAAATTGTATCAACTCTTCATCTGGCTTCTTCCCTAAAAACTTCTTATTCTAAATACTCATCTTTCCTCCCAAACATCATTTCTCCTTTTGCTGCAACCAACTTTTATCTTTTATCCCATTATCTAACCTCTATAGAGTTTTCTTGCCCCACCCCCCAAAAAATGCAATAGCAAACATAGCAAAGCAAGCAATGTATAAAAATATGCAAGACCCACTCCATCACACCTTCAGTAATTTTACTGAAAATTTCAGTCCCAACTTCTGTTCTGTAAAAATGCCATCTTTCAATTAAGAGTGGAAAACCCCAGAGTCAATCTGATTTTATGCTACCTAGGATTTTTGGGGTATATAACATGTCAAAGCATATAAACATACCTCATAGGAAAAGGCAGTAACTGTCAGTCTTGTCGGCTGCAAGAGCAAAAAAACTTACCTCTAAAATCTTATCAAGGAAGGTTATAGCAGCAGGAAAATCTGAGCTCTCAAAGGCATCCAGTGCTTGTGAGCGCAAACGCTGCATTTCATCAGATTTGACAAGCTGGGACTGGGCTTCCTTTTCTTCATTTTCACTTGGATTTGACTTGAGCTGTAACAAGAAGAAGAAATTAAACTAAACAGGGCTTTTTTTTTTTTTTAGACTAATAATCATAATATACACAATGATCTGAACTTTGCGAACATTCAAGTTTACTGGGGGATCAGTAGGGAAACACGGGCACACCTGGCTCCCCCCACGACTAGCCCAGGTGCTGACCACCATGGGAAGCAGCAGCCAAGGCACCTTTATTGCCACCCGCGTGATGCGCGACAGCGGGCAGTGGGGCTGGAGTCGGAAGACCTGGGGCGCCACAACTTCCTGGGAAGCAATGGATTTAGGGCTGTGAAAAGGGAGAGAATGAAGGGAAACACCGCTCTCACTCTCTGACATACGGCTCTGCAGAAACACTTGAGCTTCATGTGTTTTGCTTTCTAGTTATGTTTCTTAAGAATTTATTTTTTAAGTATAAAATAATTGTACCACAGTTCTGAAAGGCATAGGGAAACTGAAGGAAAGGGAAGTTTTTTAGAGGCGTAAGAAAACATTTGATGCCAGAGGGGTTGAGGTACAATAAGGAAGACTTTACAGAGAAAAATAAGAGAGTAACAGTTTATTTAAAAGGCATATGAAGTGGTTTTAGGAGGTTTGTATACTGTCTTTTTTTTTTTTTAAAGACAACTTCACCAAGGTATAGTTTATATATCATAAAATTCACTCATTCTGAATGTGCAATTTTATGATTTTTAACAAACTTACGAAGCATGCAACCATTCCCACAGTTCTAGACCGTTTCTGCCACCTCAGTAAGATCCCTGTGTCTGCTTACAGCTCATTCCTGCCCCTAGCCGGGCCTCTAGCACAGTCACTCTTAACAGTTCCTTCCTCCAGATGGAAAAATCTTGAGCCTAATGGCTCATGAAAAAAAAAAAAAAAGGGTGCCTACATTAAGAAACTACTGACTTTTTATAAAAAAATTTTGAGATTACAGTTTATATTTAATTCCTGAAATCTAATGTTCCTAGTAAGATGGAAATTGTAGTTAATGGGCTCTCTCCCATTTTGGGTGAGGTGCAAACGCCCATAGGTTATTTCTAGAAATGTCTCTCCTTCAATTCTCCAATCACACCATTTCCCCTTTTAGTGGACTCATGTCTAAAAAACACCTCCACCAGCTAGCTGGTGGAGAGAACACTGCAGATGAGAAACCTTAAGAATATTAATTTTTGGTAAAGGGTCTGCATTTCTCCATTTTGTTTCTTAGAGGACACTTCATATATTTTTTCTGTCTTTTTAATCTTTGGTTTTTGAAGGAATGGCTAGGACTCCAAATATTCATAGCTAACTGCAAACTGGTAACCTCAGCTCACTCTGACAGTGGGTTTTCCCTGCGTGACTGAACTGTCCAGTTGAGGAAGCTGCTCTGCTCTGGGCCATGGCATGCTTGTCTTTGTTTTGCCATCCTCGGGGTAGTCGAATCCTTCTGATGAAACACCACACTGGAAGCAGTATTAAACGTGTGTGTACTGTCACCTGGCTCTGGGTAAAGGTAGATGCTTTTTGATAACTGCCTCTTCTGGATGAATCTGCATCTCTTCTCTCCCAAACTGCAGAGTCTGTCCTCCTCCACACAGTCTTCCCTGTGGGCAGGTGAGGGAGGGCAAGGGTGAGGATGGAGGACTCAGCCTCCCTCCATGGTCAGACAATGGGGGTGGGAAGAGAGCAGAGGGCTCAGGCCATCGGGGCCTCATGGGGCAGGGAGGGGAGGGGGCTGGGGGTGGAGGTGGAGGAGAAAGAGGAGATTCTTCCAAAAAGGTTTAAGAAAGGAGTTTGAGGAACAAACTAAAGATTGAAACTTATAACTCGGGAGAGTTTCAAAGAGGCTTAAGTGAGATGAAGGTTTTCGCTCTTTTCCCAAGGTTGCTGACTTCTCAAGTACCCTCCCATGTTCGAGGACAGTCACACATGGAAACTGAGCGCTGCTGCTACTTCCCTACCTCCTTTTGTCATGTTTCTTGATATCCCTTCGCTTCTTTGTATTTTACATTTCAGCCAAACCTTTACCTATTTTACAATACTTTATTTCTTATTTATCATGGTCACTATCTCATGAAGAAAAAATAATAATGAACATAGATGCAAAAATCCTCAACAAAACACTAGCAAACTGACTCCAACAGCACATTAAAAGGATCATACACCATGATTAAGTGGGATTTATTCAAGGAATACAAGGACTTTTCAACATCTGCAAATCAATGATATATCACACTGACAAATTAAAGAATAAAAGCCATATGATCATCTCAATAGATACATAAAAAGGCTTTTGATAAAACTCAACATTTATTAATAATTAACAAAAAAAAACCTCTTCATAAAGTAGGCATAAGAGTGAATATAACTCAGTATAATAAAGGCCCTGACAAATCCACAGCTAACATCACACGCAACAGTGACAAGCTGAAAGCATTTCCTGTGAGATTTGGGCAAGACAAGGATGCCCACTCTCACCACTTTTATTCAACATAGTTTTGGAAGTCACAGCCACAGCAATCAGAGAAGGAAAAGAAATAAAAGGAATCCAAACTGGAAAATAAGTAAAACTGTCACTATTTGCAGAGGACATGATACTACATACAGAAAATCCTAAAGAGGCCACCAGAAAACTACTTGTGCTAATCAATGAATTTGGTAAAGTTGCAGGATACAAAATCAATGCACAAGAATCTAAGAAATGAATATTCATTTACCTGTGTGTATGTAATTCTATACAATTTTCCCTGTATCCATTAACACAGTCAAGATACTGGTAGACTGTATCAGTGTCAATATGCTGGTTACAACATCATAGTTTCCTAAGGTATTAGCATTGGGGAAAACGGGTTACTAAGTAAACGGTACACAGGATCTCTCTGTACTATTAATTACAGCTGCAAGGGAATCTATAATTCTCTCAATAAAAATGTCAAATAAAAAGGAGAGATCATTCAGTACAGGTGCACATTCTCATGGAAGAACGCTGTGACAAGAGCAGCAACGGCAGGTTTAAGAACACATGAGCAGAAGTGTGACTGTCAGACAACAATTACAAGTGTGAAGTTTCATGAACATCCCCTTTTCATTCCCGAGAGGTTTTAATACTGATGACAGAAAAGACATTAACTCAAGATACATCCACACTTTACCGAAAGGATACATCCAATGCCCAGTAAGGACTAATTTGTGCTAAGGTTTTATTCTAAATTGTGTTATTTCTAAAAGAGTACTCTAGTCTTTGTACCTGGAAAAAGAACTCTAAGTTTAGCACTTATTAAAAAGAAGGAAACTAATTATTACGTTTTATCACTCATCCATTTAACAAATGTTTACACAGCACTTGCTGTGTATCTAGAGGACTGGGCCAGGTAAAGTTTCTCCAGCACTACTGACTCCCTGCCACCTGTCCCTCAGCCTCCTCTCTGACAAGTCCCCAAGCAGCAGGGAATATCAGACAAACATAAAATCACACTGAATCTTTTGGTTTGTTTATTTTAAGCAGAAGAGCATACCAACAGGGCTGAAGAGCAGTCCACGAGGGTCAAGTGTCCAGCCAGCAGGGGGCAGTGCTGAGCCTCTGCATTTTGCTCCAGGTTCCCCAGAAGACCAGACACACCGTCTCCTGCCCCACTGATGCCCAGGCACTTGCTTCCTCCCTCCCTGTCACATCTCTCTCTTTAGGTCAGGAGATGCCTTCTTCTATGGCACCTGATCTATGAAGCTCAAAGTCTGAGAAACCTCCCATTTGTTACAGACTGTCTAACCCAGAGCCTCTGTACTACTGGCATGCTGACCACCCTGCGGGCCTGGAGCCTCCTCTGAAGGCACAGGGGCTTCTGGACAGAGAGCTGCTATCAGTTATCTTGTTTCAGTGAAAGATGGGGTCAGAATGGCAATTTGTCGGGTGCCTTCCAAGCAGATTTCACCGGTGTGCGATGCTGAACAGTGTACCACAGGGTTTGCAATTTGAGGAATCAATAAAGCACAAAAGATAAATGATGGCAAAATGCTGACAATGACACTGAATTTTATTAAGACCATGAGTGTCAGCTTCTGATTCAATACAATTAATATCTAATGTGTTCTGGATTTGTCTGCATATGACTGAGTATTGTGACAAAGGTTATGCAAACAGAAGTTTTACTTTTATTTTCACAGTGGTTGTCATCATAGTAACTAAGCATTCTGATAAACTATAAAAATGCAAATAATAAACAATGAAACACACACACACATACATGTGTATAAATATCTCTTTTCTAGAACACTCCAGAATCAAATCCATGTGAAACAAAACAAGTGGGTCTTAAAACAAGCCCCATGAGGGTATGAAGACATCATCTAGCTGTGTCTCTTCAAATCCTTTTTCAGGGTATAATCCCTTCAATTCCATGTAATCTGTAACATCTCCCTCAACAAATCCAAGATGATTTACACTTTGTAAAGTAGCTACATGGCTTATTACAAAATTTCCTGTTGAGAATCTGTTTCACTATCCCTTTCAAATCAGATAAAGGGTTTCCTGGGTCACTCGGGCAACTTTCAGAATAGCTCAGCTGACATGTCTAGATCTCATGGAGGACAAAGCAGAACATGAGCTGTATAAACTGAGTGAGGATTACTTATCTGTTCCATACACTTTATCTTCCATCCGTTAAAGTGATTCTTTGAGGTCATCCACTAAATATTAATTCAGGAACTATGATTCTTACATACACAAATCAAACAATTTTCCTTTTCAGGTATAAAACTATTAAAATGTCTTAATAGATAAAAAAAATAAGTTCTGTATGTTCACTCAAAATAAATCTTAGCAGAGCCACATAAAAACTGAACTTAACTTACCACTTTTTTAAAATCATCTTCTGCTTCATCAAGTTTTCCTTGTTTGAGTAATAAGTGACCTCGCTGTAATCTTGCCTAAAAAAGAAAAAAAAAAAAAGAGTATACTGAGTATACTAAATTTTCTTTAAACCCAAAGAATAAAACTAAATAAGCTAATCAAATACTAATTTTTCTTATAGCCATATGACTTGGCCCTCTGAGAATAATTCCTGGAACCAATGACTATCTATAAATTTTGTTAGAGTCTGCTTCCTTAAAAATATTTTTTACTATATCAAATGAATAAAATCTTGCACATGAATGCTCAAAGCAACAGCCAGAAAGTAGAAACAAGCCAAAGTCCCATCAACTAATAAATTAAGAAGCCAATATGATATGTCCATACAATAGAAAATTATTCAGGCATAAAAAGAGACGAAGTACTGACAGATGCCACAATGTTGATGAACCCTGAAAACATTACACTAGATGAAAGAAGTCAGACACAAAAGGTGATGTGTTGTATGATTCTGTTCATGTGAAATATCCAAGACAGACAAATCCAGAGAGACAGAGAAGTGAGAGAAGTGGTTGCCAAGGGCTAGGACAGAAAGGGAGGTGACAGCTAATGGGAACAGGGCTTCCTTAGGGCTAATAAAAATGTTCTGGAACTAGAGAATAGTGATGTTTGCAGAACCTTGTGAATATACTACAATAAAAGCTGCCAAATTGTACACTTTTAAAAAGGGTGAATTTGACGATATGTGAGTTATATCTCACTTAAAAAGTATTTTAAGCCATTATAATAACTTTTTGTAATTCTAAAAAAACTTGTGTAAGTTGGGACTTTACCAATCAAAGCTCTGGACATAGTTTTTGTTTTTTATTAACTCTTAATGCACATATTTACTCCGCCACAACCAGAATAACAATGCCTCTTTAACTCTGATATTCCTCTTCTAATGTGCACAGTCCCATCTCTTCCAAGAATACCAACTCTCTGATGATGAACATCTACCATAGACAGAAACCACACCAATATTCGACTAAGACATATTATTACTTTCACAGTACATAAAAATTTCCCTAATCCTTTGTTAAATGCAACAACACACATAAAAAGCAAAATTAAAGCCACTTCAACTGGCTAATAAATACTATAATACTAGGAAAATAAGCTACTTAACCTTTGTGGACAGTTATGCTTAGTTGGGTAAAGTAATAAAATTTGACACTTGCGAATTCTATCTTAAAATAATACAATTATTTCAAACCAAACATTCACCCACATCTAATCAGTCATCTCAAATCCTTTCTGGATTACAGCAGGACACAAACACAAAAATGAACTGCCAAATTAATTTTGAGACAGTATAATTGGGTCCTATTATTTTAAGCCATTACAGTGACCTGCCAACTGTCAAGATATCCTATTAGACCATAAATTCCTCCACTTCTGAAGCTTGAGTGTTGGTTCACGGCAGGACTCTGTCTAATTCACACTTATCCTCATCACAGACCACTGTTTAACTGCGTTGCTCCCTCTTCTTTATTCTTCCCACTACAGCCTTGACTGAAACTGCCATCAGTCACCTGACAGCCTCTTAATTCAACAGCTTCTTCATCAGTTCATTTCCCAGCCTACACCCCATCCTCCACACAGATACCTTTCTAAACCACAAAGCTGACATCACTGCCACACTTCTGGGCTTCTCTGGTAGCTCAGCTGGTAAAGAATCTGCCTGCAACACAGGAGATCCCTGTTCAATTCCTGGATTGGCAAGATCCCCTGGAGAAGGGACAGGCTACCAGTCCAGTATTCCTGGGCTTTCCTAGTAGCACAGACGATAAAGAATCTGCCTGCAATGCTTCTAAAAATCACCTAATGTCCCACTCCACTGTGCCTCCTTCACACATACCTATGACTCCGAGGACTGAATTTCTCTTGTTGCCCAGTCCACTACATCACAGTGGCTTTCTACATCCTCCAGTTATGCCTAGCATGCCAATTTTCACCTTAAGAAAAAAATTACCTCTTCCAAGTTTCCTTAAGTTTTCCTTTTAAGAAAGTTTAGGTGCACTTACTGCAGTGAAATCCATCTTCAATTCAATCACTTTAGTTAAATCAGGAAGTGCTGCTTTTGATTTGCCCATAGCTAAAAAGACAGTAGCTCTCCGATAGTAAGCAATATAGTTATCAGGGTCACCATCTGAAAATTAAAATAATAAATATTAACTTGCAGTACTTTATTCAAAAAAACCAAATCACCGTAACAGTATTAAAGCTTGCACTTCTACCAAGAGAAGCATTAAGAAAAGAACTTCTTCATCAGTACTGGGTCACTCTGCCTGACAAGATCACTGCAAATAAATCCAGAACAGAGGCTCAGCAAACTGTAGCCTTTAAGCCAAAAGCAAGCCACAGACTAACTTAAGAATATTTTTTACACTTTTAAAGAGCTGTCCAAAAATAGAAAAATATAGACACTATACAGCTGCAAAGCCTAAAATATTTATTATCTGGCCCCTTAGGGGAAAAGTTTGCCAACTTCTGATCTAGAATATTAACTATATTCAACTCAACTTTTATATGCAATTGTGTTTGTCTTTGTTGAAATTTTCTTAAGTGCAATACTGATTGAGAATATGGACTCTACACTGATTCACAGGATTTTAGAATACTACAGACTCCCAATTACAATGATACACTGAATGTGCAACCCCTGCTCTTTCCCAAACTCCAACTAAAATGGCAGTGAAGAAATAAGGGTACGGACCACCGGACGAAGGAGAATGGAAAGGAAAGCGAGACCAGAGAGCAAGGGGAGAGTCGATAACAACATCTGAAAGAAGGTAAACAGACAGAAAAGAAAGAGGAAAGGAAGGGAAAGGGAAGGAAAAGGAGGAGAAAGAGAAGGAGGGAAGGAGGGAGGGAGCAGAGAAGGCAAGGGGGAAGGCATTAGCGAGGAAGTGGAGATGGGAGCCCTCGTGCGCTGCGGAGGGAATGTGAAATGGTGCAGCTACTGTGGTATAAAGGCTCCTCAAAAACTAAACACAAAACTACCACTGAACCACCAATTCCATTTCTAGGTATACATATTCACAAGAAATGAAAGCTGATTGCCAAGATGTGGAAGCAATCTACATGCCCGTCAACAGATGATGGATACAGAAGATGTGGTGTAAAAAAGAATGAAATCTCGCCATTTGCAGCAACATGAATGGTCTGGGAGGGCATTATGCTAAGTGAAGTAAGTCAGACAGAGAAAGACAAACACTGTATAATATCACATATATGGAATCTAAAAAATACAACAAACTAGTGACTATAACTAGACTCACAGATATAAAGAAGCAGACTCACAGATACAAAGAACAAGCTAATGGTTACCAGTGGGAAGAGGGAAGATGGGAGGGGCAATACAGAGATAGGGGACTAAGCGGTACAAACTATTAAGGTATAACCTTGAAGAAAAAGAATTGAAAGCTGATAACTATATACCTATATTCAGAGCAGCATTATTCACAACAGCCCAATGGTAGAGACAACCTAAATGTCCACTGGTGGGCAAGTGGATAAATAAAATGCGGTATATACAGACAATGGAATATTATGTGGCCTTTAAAAAGGAATAAAATTCTGATAAATGCTACAATGTAAATGAACCCTGAAGACACTATCCTAAGTGGAATAAGCCAGACACAAAAGACAAATATTTTGTTTCCACTTCTATGAGGTACTGGGAGTGATCAAATTTTTAAAGAGAGATATTAGAGTGGTGGCTGCCAAGGTATGAGAAGAGAGGGGGATTAGAAATGGGAAACAACTGCATGATGGGCACAGAGCTTCATTCTGACATGATGAACAAGTTCTGGAGATGGATGGGGGTGATGGTTGTACCACAATGTGAATGCACTTCATACCAATTAACCACATGCTTAAAAATGGTTAAAAACGGTAAATTCTGATTTGTATATTTTACTATAATAAAACAGTGAAAGAATGAGGCAGTCAGGGAGAAAAAAATGGCTAAATGTTTTTATGCAGAAAAACCATCAGAGAAGATTATGTATGAAAAAGCTTGTTATTAAAGTCTATATAAAGTCTCTGTATAAAATATTTTGGGGGCATTCACTTTCACTTATTTTACTATTCAGTTTTTAGGTATTTTAAGATATGAAATGGGATTGGAAGCCTAATTTATAACCCTGAACCTATTAAAAATAAGGAATCAAATGTCAATGGTTCATCATATCCAAGAATCAACATGCTCAGTGATACAGGATCACTTAAACGGCAAATCAAAACAGCCTCTCCTAGGTCTTCATCTTAAAATACTGTCAGTTCTGAGAACCAGGGCCCGTTTCTATATCATTATACATAAAGGAGCAGCTGAGCAAGAATTGGCTTAAGAAACATGCTTAGACTGTTTATAATAGCCAGGACATGGAAGCAACCTAGATGCCCATCAGCAGATGAATGGATGAGGAAGCTGTGGTACATATACACCATGGAATATTACTCAGCCATTAAAAAGAATTCATTTGAATCAGTTCTAATGAGATGGATGAAACTGGAGCCCATTATACAGAGCGAAGTAAGCCAGAAAGATAAAGACCATTACAGTATACTAACACATATATATGGAATTTAGAAAGAGGGTAACGATAACCCTATATGCAAAACAGAAAAAGAGACTCCGATGTATAGAACAGACTTCTGGACTCTGTGGGAGAAGGCGAGGGTGGGATGTTTCAAGAGAACAGCATCGAAACATGTATATTATCTAGGGTGAAACAGATCACCAGCCCAGGTTGGATGCATGAGACAAGTGCTCGGTCCTGGTGCACTGGGAAGACCCAGAGGGATCGGGTGGAGAGGGAGGTGGGAGGGGGGACCGGGATAGGGAATACATGTAAATCCATGGCTAATTCATTTCAATGTATGACAAAAACCACTGCAATGTTGTAAAGTAATTAGCCTCCAACTAATAAAAATAAATGGAAAAAAAAAAGAAACATGCTTAGTTTCTCACATTATAAGATTTGATAACATTGAAAATAACTTTCCCTATTATCCATTCAAATACAATACAGTTCATTATATAAATCATACACAAGTCTACATATGGAAAACTTCCAAACGTAGACTTCATTAGAAAACATGTCAAAGTGTTTTACTAGTTTATTCAAAATTTGAATATAAGAAATGAAAGTCTAATCCTAAAACTGTCAAACAATTCAAATATGAGAAAATTAGCCCTAATAAAGAAAATGCAACTACTATCTGGAGAAAAGCATCAGAAAGCCAATTACCAATGATGCTGTAAATAGGGGCAGCCGGAGGCAGAAAGAACACCACCCTTGCAGAAGCACAGAAAACTTTTCATTCCTTAGCAGTGAAATGTGTGTATTACCATATGTGAAATAGATCGCCAGTGCAAGTCTGACGCACGAAATAGGGCAGTCAAAGCCGGTGCACTGGGACAACCCAGAGGGGTGGGATGGGGAGGCAGGCAGGAGGGGGGTTCAGGATGGGGAACACATGTATACACACGGCTGATTCATGTCAGTGTATGGCAAAAACCACCACAATATTGTAAAATAATTAGCCTCCAATTAAAATAAATAAATAAATAAATAAATAAACTTTTCATTCTTGCTCTCAGCTAACCCAACTCTACCCCTTCATTCATTCAAACTTTTAACTCAGCACCACCAGAGACTAAAATAATAATAGTAATAACAACAGTAAGATCATACATATCCTTAAGAAGTTTATGGTCTTCTACACTGGAATGTGACCGTGGGAAAGTCACTAGAATACTCTGCTTCCTTTTGTGTAAATGTCAAGAGTAATGTTCATCCCCTTTTCACAAGTGAAGCTGAAATTCAATGAGAAAGCACCACAACATGTTTAAGTGCCAAATGAACGCAGCCATGGATTTAGCAAAATTATGTTAAGTGTGATATTGGTTTTCTTACCAAGCAACTGAAGAAATGTATCATTTCATTCACGTCCACCATTTAATCCACCACTTTAGACATTCATTCGTGCCAGATATATGTAAGACATTCTGCAAGGTCTACCAAAGAAATGTTTTCAGACCCTAGGAGTCCCTATCCACGTTAAGACCATGCTGCAGAAATGAGAGGTAGGGCATCCTCACTGCAGGAAACCTGCACTGTGGTTTCTTAAGGATAAAATGTCTAAATAAAACTTGTGCCAGACTACTTCATAAAAATGAAACAGAGGCGAGACTTCCCTAGTGGTCCAGTGATTAAGAATCAGCCTTGCAATGCAGGGGATGTGGCTCTGATCCCTGGTCAGGAAACTAATATCCCACATGTCACAGAGCAACTAAACCTGCGTGCCCAATGAAGATCCCATGTGTCCCCAGCTGAGACCTGATGCAACCAAATCAAAAAACAAATATTAAAAAAAAGTGAAATAGATATAACTGTTTCAGAAGACTATTTAAAAAGTGACACCAACACTCTTCTTAAGTCACACTGTTTCCAACCCAAACACTTCCAAATCATAAACTCCTGCCAAAAAATATCTATATGTCAGATGCAAAAACATTTCAAACCACATCACCAACAGATCTGTACTATAGTTATCTGTGCTGCTACTGAGTTTTAATACATAAACATTTTTCTGTGCAAAAATGTATTTATAAAATATACCATGCTTAAGTAATTTTCAAAATGCAAACCATGTAATTTTTCAAAAATGAAGATGAGAAAAGGATATCACAACCATAAATACTGTCAGCTATAACATTATAATAAAAAATGATGTACTGATACACCTGATGCCACTACCCAAATTGTATTACAAACTCTAACATCAATTTCTAATCATAGGAAACGTTAAAATAGTACATTATGAAATTTAGAATTTTGGAAGTATAAACATTTAATGAATTTTTTATATAGTCAGTTTAAAGCAATGTACTAAATTATGGGTGATATTTTAGAACTATGGACAGAGGTTCCTGACACTCACTGTACAGGAGGCAGTAATCAAGACCATCCCCAAGAAAAAGAAATGCAAAAAGGCATAATGGTTGTCTGAGGAGGGCTTACAAACAGCTGTGAAAGGAAAAGAAGTGGAAAAACAAAGGAGAATAGGAAAGATATACCCATTTGAATGCAGAGTTCCAAAGAATAACAAGGAGAGATAAGAAAGCCTTCTTCAGTGATCAATGCAAAGAAACAGAGGAAAACAATAGAATGGGAAAGACCAGAGACCTCTTCAAGAAAATTAGATACCAAGAGAACGTTTCATGCAAAGATGGGCACAATAAAGGACAGAAATGATATGGACCTAAGAGAAGCAGAAGATATTAAGAAGAGGTAGCAAAAACACACAGAAGAACTATATAAAAAAGATCTTCATGACTCAGATAACCACGATAGTGTGATCACTCACCTAGAGCCAGACATCCTGGAATGTGAAGTCAAGTGAGGCTTAGGAAGCATCACTACCAACAAAGCTAGTGGAGGTGAGCTATTTCAAATCCTAAAGATGATGCTGTGAAAGTGCTGCACTCAATATACCAGCAAATTTGGAAAACTCGGCAGTGGCCACAGGACTGAAAAAGGTCAGTTTTCATTCCAATCCCAAAGAAAGGCAATCCCAAAGAATGTTCAAACTACTGCACAACTGTACTCATCTCACACGCTAGCAAAGTAATGCTCAAAATTATCCAAGCCAGGCTTCAGCAATACGTGAACGGTGAACTTCCAGATGTTCAAGCTGGATTGAGAAAAGGCAGAGGGACCAGAGATCAAATTGCCAACATCTGCTGGATCATCGAAAAAGCCAGAGAGTTCCAAAAAAACATCTACTTCTGCTTTATTGACTATGCCAAAGCTTTTCACTGTGTGGATCACAGCAAACTGTGGAAAATTCTTGAGAGATGGGAATACCAGACCACCTGACCTGCCTCCTGAGAAATCTGTATGCAGGTCAAGAGCAACAATTAGAACTGGACATGGAACAACAGACTGGTTCCAAATCGGAAAAGGAGTATGTCAAGGCTGTATACTGTCACCCTGCTTATTTAACTTATATGCAGAGTACATCATGTGAAACACTGGGCTGGATGAAGCACAAGCTAGAATCAAGACTGCCTGGAGAAATATCATTAACCTCAGATATGCAGATGACACCACACTTATGGCAGAAAGTGAAGATGAACTAAAGAGCCTCTTGATGAAAGTGAAAGAAGACAGTGAAAAAGTTGGCTTAAAACTCAACATTCAGAAAACTAAGATCATGGCATCTGGTCCCATCACTTCATGGCAAATAGATGGGGAAACAGTGGAAACAGTGACAGACTTTATTTTCTTGGACTCCAAAATCACTGTAGATGGTGACTGCAGCCATGAAATGAAAAGACACTTGCTCCTTGGAAGAAAAGTTATAACCAACCTGGACAGCATATTAAAAAGCAGAGACATTACTTTGCCAACAAAGGTCCATCTGGTCAAGCCTATGGTTTTTCCACTGATCATGTATGGATGTGAGAGTTGGACTGTGAAGAAAGCTGAGTGCCGAAGAATTGATGCTTTTGAATTATGGTGTTGGAGAAGACTCTTGAGAGTTCCTTGGACTGCAAGGAGATCCAACGAGTCCATCTTAAAGGAGATCAGTCCTGGGTGTTCATTGGAAGGACTGATGCTGAAGCTGAAGCTCCAATACTTTGGCCACCTGATGCAAAGAGTTGACTCATTGGGAAAGACCCTGATGCTGGGAAAGATTGGAGGTGTGAGGAAAAGGGGACGACAGAGCATGAGTTGGTTGGATGGCATCACCGACTCGATGGACATGAGCTGAGTAAGCTCCGGAAGTTGGTGATGGACAGCGAAGCCTGATGTGCTACAGTCCACAGGGTCGCAAAGAATTGGACACGACTGAGCGAGTGAACTGAAATGAAATTATGGGTGATATTTTACCACAAAAAAAAAATTGTACCTTTTACAGTAGCACAGTTCTTTGATCTTTTGATCTGCAGCAATAACTACAGTAACTGCACAACTTGCTGGTCTAGAAGTCAGGAGACCTAGGCTCACTCACTGTTTGCAAGAGGCTCTCACTACCTTACCAGTTATCTGAAGCAGTCAACATGGCCACACTGAATTTGATGTTTGGTAAATACAACAACTGAAATAGAAGACCTATAGTTCTCTTCTCATAAACAAATATCTCTTAAAGAGATTCAACAGGCCATGATACTACATCACCCCATCCTTACCTACTATATATTCCCATCAACTATAATTTAAACTCTCTTATCTACGGTTAATTATAAAATATCAGTGTATTATATAAACTAAAACAATGAAAGTCTCAAAACATACAGGTCTTCCTCAAATTATACTAAGTGTACCATTTGAGAATCACTGCTACTTGCCAAATTATCATGAAGAGAATGACTTTACTATTCAAATTCTGAATGCATTAGCAGTGTCTCACTTTCTCCCTTTTCTGAATTTCACAAATAAATTACCATGTTTTAGCATTACTAATTTATGTCTTTCAGTGTAGACAATAAATATTTTATTGGGTATTTTTGGGGAAGAGCCATCTGTGGAATTCTTGTATGGTAGTGAAGCTAAAGAAAAATAGGCAGTCATTTTAAATGATGCTAACAATATGCCATGGCCCTTAATGTTCCTATTAATTTGTGAGATTAATGAAAGCAAATAATAAAGTACAAAATAAGTAGATGTACATGTTTCTGCAACTATTCTCATAGTAGCAAGAAAATATTTTTTTAAGACTTGCATTATCTAAGGTAATAACTGAAAAAATGTTAATTGTCATGCTGTAGCACTGAAGACAACTCAAATCACTGGAAAAAGTGTGGACTTGGGAGTGACCCGGTCACACAGTACAAGGTCTCTCGTGAAAAGTAACTAGTGCAAACTGTCATGCCAACTAACTGTGACTTTCCAAGGTCAGCTAATCATCAAAAGTTCACATAGTTAAGAAAACCCTATTAACATACTAACTCTGCTTTTAGAAAAGTCTTAATTTTCGAAGACACAATATTTCTATATACCTTACATATGTGATTGTCACCTATTTTCAAAGAAATCTTTATACACAGTTCTCTCATCTGATCTTCTCAGAATGTCCTTTTTTGAGTGGCAGGGTAAAAACTGCTGGGAACATGCAGGTCACTTCTAATTTAAGTCTACATTTTCTTACATGACTTGACCAATGTCACAGAATTATCAAGCGGCAAAGCTATGATTAAAATCTGGGTTTCCCAGATCACCAGCCCAGGTTGGGTGCATGAGACAAGTGCTCGGGCCTGGTACAGTGGGAAGCCCAGAGGGATCGGGTGGAGAGGGAGGTGGGAGGGGGGACCGGGATGGGGAATACATGTAAATCCACGGCTAATTCATCTCAATGTATGACAAAAACCACTGCAATGATGTAAAGTAATTAGCCTCCAACTAATAAAAATAAATGAAAAATAAAAAAAATAAAAAAAAATAAAATCTGGGTTTCCTATTATTCCAGAGAGTTAGTAACATCAGTAATAAAAATCTAAAAAGCATGAAGAAAAACATCACCAAGCCAAAACCTAACTACTTTTTGCTTATATAGTAAATCACAATAGACTAATTCTTCTAGTGAGCAGAACTGTATCTGATTAAAAATACACCACTCCTTACTCTGCAGGTTCACTTGTCACTCTTAACCATCCTAAATAAAGGTGAGAATATATAAGTAAATTAAAAAGGAATGAAGAATAGCAATGTCAAAAAGCTTATGTAGTGACTTATACGAAAATCTGTAAGACCTCATTCACACCTATTAACATTTACTCTGGTCATCTCATCTCTCACATCTCTCATCTCATCTCTGTAGTGTTGTAAGATTAAACACTACAAAGACAGTTGATGCTACAGGCAGACACAAGCAAGAAATAAAAAGTAACAGATTAAGGGGTGGAGGGAGTCTAACCAACGATAAACAGGCAATGAACTGCAGGATTCCCCCAAAGGCCTCCAAGTAACTATTACATCATTGCTCTCAAATCATCGAGAAAATTAAACTGTATTCAGTGACATCTGTTTCAGAAGGCAGAAATATATATATACAGTACCTCCGTACCTGCAGGTTCCACAACCACAGATATGAAATATTTGGGAAAAAACTTGCTCCACAGATATTCACAGAGCATCTGCATTACATTTACATAGTATTTGCACTACATTATGTATTATAAGTAATCTAGGGATGATTTAAAGTATATGGGAGGATGTGTGTAGATTACATGCAAATACTACATCATTTTATATGAGGGACTTGAGTATCCACAGATCTTGGCATCCAAGGGGGTCCTGGAAGCAATCCCCTGAGGCCACCTAGGGATGACTATTAAGTCTCGATTACACTGAAAATTTTCTCATGTTAGACTCATATGTACTCAAGTGTTGTGTATTTAGTTTCTTAATGTATTTCACCCAGAATCTTGTAAACATTTTAAAATACTTTACTCAAACAGTAAATACTATTTATTTTAAACGTTATCCCAAAAAAGAGCTACAAGTTAGAATTCACTAAGACGGCCACTGAGTGTTTTGACTCCAAGATACAAACCTACTGCAGCGTGAAACTGAGATAACGCATCTGCAAGCTGTCCAGCTGCAAGGAGTTTCTTGCCCAATTCCAGATGCTTCTCAACATCTGCATTTACTCCACATTCAGCACCTAAAAACAAACAAGCAAATAACAAATTACCTTCCCATGAACCACAACTGAACTCTCATGAATACAATGTTGAAAATACAATTGTGTGCTTCAGTCATCTACTCAGATGAAAAAAGTCACAGAAGCTGAAAAGTGAGCTAAAGAAGGCAACAGTCAAGTACAGATTAACAGTCTGTAAAATGAACAATCAAGTTCACTCTATAGAGGGTAAGCCACCCGAAAAATACTGGCACTAACCTCGCCAGTCCAAAGGGCATACCTACTCTACAGAAAAATACCTACTCTAAGGAAAATGGGGTAACTCAGCGACTAGCACAAACACTTAAAACTTTTTTGGTCAACAACAACAAAATTAGAACTGCTTTGTTTAACTAGAATCTCACTTTAATGAATATCAGAATCCACTATAATAATCAAGAACTTAATGAGCAACTACAGGGCACCAGGCACTGTTCTACATATTTGGGATAAAGGAGCTAAACAAACAAAAACCTCAGTCACTCGTGGCACCTGACATTATAGCACCAGCAGATGACCTAAGTATGGAAGGTAAAAAGGAGAGCTGCTGGGCGGTGGTCAGGAGCAGTGGGGCTTTCAGTATTAAACAAGATGGTCAAGGGCCTCCCTGAGCAAAGACCTGCCTGAAGAAAGTGAGGACTCACCATGCAGGTGTCTAGCTAGGAAAAGAGTTTGCCAAGGACAACCATCTAGTGCGAAGGCCTTGGGGTCAGGCGCCTACCAGCTATGTTCCAGAAACAGTAGGGAGGTCTGGATGACCACCACAGAGCCGACAAGGGAGATGACAGATGAGATGACGTCAGAGTAGGCGAGGGGCATGACTATGCTAGGCTTTGGTCTCACTCTGAGCAAAATGGGGACCTAGTGAGGAACTGGGAGTAGAACAGCATCATCTGACTGACAGGCCCATTATCACCCAACGGGCCGCCCCTCAGCTCCGCATTCACCCTCCAACACTGACCGGGGTGGGTAAGTGTTTTTCTTCACACTGAGCACAGTGCTGGCCTTTGACAGTAACGGGCGCTGACGGGCGCTGCAGGAAGCTCCCCTCCGGGCTCCTGCTCCTCTTCTCTGGCCCCTGCCGTGTGGTGCGCAGGGGGACCACCTCCAGAGGGGCCCTGTCCCCGCCACGCGTCCAGGGGGCCAGCCCCTCAGCCACCCGGAGCCTCGGTCACACACTACCTCCCACGAGGACACCATACACCTGAGGAGGCGGTTTCTTGCTTCCCCAGCCACTGTGGACCAGCTGAGCCCTGGCAACTCAGCAAACTTTTTCTCAACAAACAGGCTGCAACTGTACTGTCTCCAATTGAGGGCTGAACCCCAGACCTGGGGAAGGGACCCCCCTCCAGGCTGGCCCTTCCTTGGGGACTGCCTCTCAGTCCTGGACTATCCCGTAAAGTTCCTTTTACACCATTACAGTCGCCCTCCTATCATAACAGTTCTTTACATTAAACTTCCTCTTTTAAAACAACCATGAGGTTTCTGTCTCCTGAAGAGAACCAGACTTTCATACACAATTGCTATTGGGAGTGATTCCAAGACACGGAGCCACAAAAATGGGATTTAAGGATTGGTTTGGTCATGCCCTTGAGCTTGAGCGCTGTTGCTCAATTCCGTGTCAATGAGAAATGAGTTAGTAATTTATAGCAGGTATAGAATTAATTAATGAAGATATCATTTGCGGTTGACATGCCGCAAACTGAGGCACATAGCTGGGAAACCCAAGTGGCTGCTGCACTTGACCATGATGGCAGTAATGATGAAAATAAGGACTGTGGGATGGATTCCTTGGAGCACACTAGAGTACTTAAAGAGGGAAGAAAAGCTCAGGGCTAACTCCTAGTTGAGAGATTCCACAGTAGCCCCTAAAACAAACTCTAATTTTTTGTAGCCATAGAGATGATTTAGTTGGAAATCAAACACAAAATTTAATTTTCAAGATTGCTGAATTAAAACAATAGTTGAATTCAGAGTCTCTCCAAGTCTCTCCTAGGATATTCAGAACATATTAGTAAAGAATGGGACCCTCAAACTTAAAAATAGAGTCATCTGGTTGTAACCTACATGAAATGGACCGATTTAACCTCCCAGACCTTCTGAGCCTGCCTTACCCATAGAAGCAGATTCCCTTCCACTGTCAGTAGCACCTCGCCTTCAACTGCTTAAAATTCTAAGGACAACCACTCAGGGCAGAAGCCATGAAAGGGGATGCTCACTCAGACACACCCAATCACTCCAGATGTCACCAGGCAAGTATATTACTGTGACCTAAAGAAAACAATTTACTACTCAATGCTCTGTCATTAGCTAAATGGGAAGGGAATCTAAAAAAGATGAGATATGTGTATAACTGATTCACTCTGATGTAGAGCAGAAACTAACAACACTGTAAAGCAACAATACTCCAATAAAAAAAAGCTTTTTTAAAGAAAAAATAGTTTACACACCAAAAGAATTGCAAGATTTTGCTGATAAACTAGCAGAAACCCATGGAACATGTGTGGGAATGGATTCCAAAGGTTTTAGATCAACAAGAATAGAATATAATACTGTATCTGGTCTCATTAACTGATGTGTGCCCACTTTCTAGAATAGAGGTCAGCAAACTGCTTTTGTAAATAAAATTCTACTGGAACACAGTCATACCCTTCACTGTACCTGGCTTAAGGCTGTTTTCATGCTATAATGCAAAGTTGAGTAGTTTCGACAAAAACCACATAGCCCACCAAACTTAAAAACAACTATAATATATTGAGAAAAGTCTTCTGTCAAAACTATCTTAATTTTTTCTCAGTACTTACAGTTAAAAGTCTCAGTTACATGGAAAATCCTTATATTGGGTAACATGCATTAAACATTATGCATTTATTAATCTCTTTCACCCAGAATTGGTCAATATTTTAAAATATTTTATTTAAACAGCAAATAATATTTATTTTAAATGCTATCCCTGAAAGGGATTATAGTATTAGAATTCACTAAGATGGCTGCTGAGTGTTTTGGTTCCAAGATATAAACCTCCTGCAGCATGAAGCTGAGATAAAGTGGCCGCGAGCTGCCCAGCTGCAGAGAGTTTCTGATCAAGGAGAAACAGGCTCTGCTACTACGGGAGCAAAGAGGGGTGCACCTGGACCCTAGGGGACTCTCTGGGGCCTTAGTTCTTCTGTGCCCAACACTAAAGATTAATTTAAAATTACAGTAACCAAAAAACAGGGCAATTGAGCACTCAGACCCTTCAGAAATGAGGGTTTTGGTTACACCATCAGGAGAAGAAGCCAGAGGAGCTGAGGTTTCAGCAGAAGGCACGAGATGTATGGGACAGGAAGTTAACAAAGGATGCCATATAAATCAACTATGACCTCATGACTAATTACAGACTCAAAATGCAGCAGCTTTGCACATGTTCTCTTTGCTTGTTTATAAGCATCTGTTTATTTGTATACATATAGTCAAGCCTCACAACTCTGATGGTGTCTCAGAATTTGCCCACTGACTAAGGTTATCTGTGAGCCCCTAAAATTCACCTGGAATCTCCAAACTAACATTCTGGGCCCCCTGGCAGTCATTTGAGGACAGGTGTACATGTGGAATGGGGACACACTTGGGACACTTGAAGAGCATGTTCTGAGCTGAAGTCAAACAAGGTGATTCTCCTTCTTCCTGCATCAGCTCTCATGTTATAAACAAGTGTCCTCCATGGTTTTTACTTTCCTTCTTTTTCACTGATGTCACTGTTTAAAATGGCTCCCAAGCATAGTACTTCCTAATATTCCTAAAGGCAGGAGACTGTACTGGGCCTTTCAAAAAAAATACGTTTGGGGAATTCCCTGGTGGTCCAGTGGTTAAGACTCTGAGCTTCCACTGTCAGGGACATGGGTTCAATCCCTGGTAGGGGAACTAAGATCCTGCAAGCTGCACGGTGCAAGCAAAACACTTTCAAGAAAAGAAAACATATTTGTTAGATGAGCTTCATTCAGACATGAATGATAACGCTGCTGGCCATGAATTCAATGTTAGTCAATTATATTAAACGAGATATTTTTAAACAGAAAGTCACACAAAACAAGGTTACATTTTGATCTGTTGACAAACTGGTAGTGACCTGAGGCCTTGCAGGATCCTAAGCCTGAATTTTCTCCCAGGTGCAGTGGTTCAATATTTGCTAATTCAACGTTCATAATGACATACGGAGTACAACTACCATGAATTGAGAATCGACTGTACTAACCATATTTTCTCCAGTTTCCATTTTTATTTTATTTACAAGCTGTTGAAATTAACTTTACAATTTAGTTTTTATATGATTAAGTCCTGAACAGGACAGTGGTAATTAACACAGCCAGTAATGGACACAGTGACTGCTGAAAACATATCTTCTCAACCAGGATACAGGTGAGCATTTTTCATTTCCAAGAAGACCTGCACCTCGTTAGGTAGAATATAGACTCTTTTTGTTGTTCTAAAGTTCAAATGCGTATAGAAGGTGCATGTGGAAACTAAACAGCCACAGCATTTCTCTTTCACAATAAACATGATGTTAAGCTTTTCACTGTGCCAAGGAGGCACTGCAGGGAAAACAATCTCAACAGTCATCACTCGAGAGGGTGGGAGACAGGACTGGGGAGGAGCAGAAAGAAGTCTCTGGGGTGCTGAGAGAGTTCTAACCCTGATGGAGGCGAGGGTTACACAAGCACATGCAGTTATCAAAACCCAGCAAATATATACTTTAAAATGGACGCTTTATTGTATATAAATTTTACCCCTGCAAAAAACAACTGCTAATGATATATATGTTAAAGTATTTAGGGACATGTATACTGATGCTATTTTGAAAATTATTTTTTCAAAAGGATTAACGGATAGAAAAATGCCCAGATGGATATGTATTAAAAACATGTGTAGTAATTACATTAATAGTAGAATTGAGGTGATAGGTACAGGGCTGTACACTATAAAACTGTTTCGTGTTTGATAATAAA